TACCTGGCTTCCACAGTACTTATTTAGAGTCACCTCTGCACCCCCATTTTAAAAATTAAGTCTTGTCTAGGTAATGCATTTTCTGCTTCATATTAGAAAGATAACAAGGCATGTACAGTGAAAAGTCTTCTTATCCCTTCCTACAAACAGACAGTTCTCCCTGTCAGTAGACTGCTGTGAAACTTTTCAGAGCCATTTGACGCATAGACAAACATCCATATGACCATATTATTCCTCCCTTTTTTTTCTTTTTCTTTTTTTTTTTTTTTTTTTTTTTTTTAATAGTGAGTGTCATGTTTGTGTTCTGGGATAGATAGCCCACTTTTGGCTTGGCATTTGTTCCATTACTCCTGTACTTTAAATGCTGGTATTTATGTTTAGTGAAATGTTAATAGCTGCTAGGACATAGGACATAAAAAAGAATTTGTTCTAGTAGTTTTGACTAACCAAGATGAATTTAGGAAATAAAATTCTTAACATTGTCATTGTTTCTTGGTATGGAAATTTTAGAAGCAGGTTGAACTACAAAGAGTCCAAGAGGAATAGAGAAATATCACAAAGAAGTGAATCTGGACTGTAGTAGAGATAAATGTTAATACTTACAGATAATACTTACTATGTGCTGGGCAGTGGTCTAAATGCTTTACATATATTATTGAAGTCTCACAACAGTTCCATGAGGCAGGTGGCTTTTATCGCCATTTTACAGAGGAGTAAATTGAGCCACACAAACTAACACTTGATCCAGATAGTACAGTGGCAGAGGCCTGATTGTAACCCAGGTGGTCTGGCTCCAGAGTTCAAGCTCTTTATCACTATTTCTTTCTGTCTTCCTGTCTTTCCTTCTTTCTTTATTTCTTCCTTTCCCTCCCTCTTTCTATCCTTTCCTCTCCTTCCCTTTCCTTTCCTTCCCTCCCGTCCTCTCCTCTCCTTTTTCCTACCTTCCCTTCCTTCCCTTGTTTCCCTTTCTTTCCTTCCTTTCCTTTTTTCTTTTCTTTCCTTTCTTTATTTTTTGAGACATTGTCTCACTCTCTCTTCCCAGGCTGAGTACAGTGGTGCAATCATGGCTCGCTGCAGCCTCAACCTAACCACATCCAGTAATCCCCCCACCTCAGCTTCCCATGTAGCTGGCTCTACAGGTGCACACCCCACCATACCTGGCTCATTTTTTCTATTTTTCATAGTGACAAGATCTTACTTTGTTGCCTGAGCTGGTCTCAAACTCCTGGCCTCAAGTGATCCTCCCACCTTGGCCTCCCAAAGCGCTGCGATTACAGATGTGAGCCACCGCAACCAGCCTTTTACCACAACTTCAAATTCCATTTAGATCTAATATTATTAGAGCCATAACCATATCAACCAGATTTTTAGAATTGAAAAAAAAAAAATGCTGCCATTTTTGGTATTTGTATGACAAAAATATATAGAGTTTGTATTACAGCTTTTACCTGTTTAGAGCACTCTTTGGAAAGGCAGGGAAATTACTGTGAAGGTATTGGTATTCGAGAAGTAAGTTCCTGGAGTGTTTGCCTTCTAAACCTGAAGGTGTGAGGACTTGGTTTGTCACACCCAGTTAGCTAACAGATAGGCAATGGGGGTGAGCTATCCAGAAGACTTAGCCGGTTAGCCTAGGGAGGAAGGAGATAGGGAATCTAGGCACCTGGAGGGAGGGAGAGGGAGAAGAGTTTGTTTTAATCTGTCCTAGATTGGGGTAGCCCTTTCTGAAGGAGGCCTTGTCATGTGGACCCGCTGCACATAGAGATGGGATAATTGGACCTGAGCTGTGCTAGCTAAAGTACCACAGAGATCTGGAAATTTAAGGAGTTCATTTCCTCGATCATTAAGAAGAACTTGAAAGGGTAGCAAGTGGTCATATTTGAATGTAACATACTCATCTGGGTTGGGAAAGAACTGGAATCTAGAGCTTGGCCATAAAAAGTGCAAAATCAGGTGTTCTTGTAAACTATGTACTGTTGTAAACACTGATAAGACACAGCACTGATCCCTGGGCCTTTCTTCTATAAAGTGCTAGTACAGGCTGAGGATCCCTAATTCGAAAATTCAAACTCTGAAATGCCCCCCTGAGCATTTCCTTTGAGTGTCATATTGGAACTCACAGTTTTAGGGTTTTGGAACATTTCAGATTTCAGTTTCAGATTTGGGATGCTTAACTGGTATATAATGCGCATATTCCCAAATCTGAAAAAATTCCAAGTCCAAAGTGTTGCTGCTCCAAAGCATTCAGAAGAAATACTCAACCTGTAATGGATTGTAATAGACTTGTATTAGATTACGTACCAGTTTTCAAAATTTGTATCTCAGAATCCTTGTTTTGCGTCAGTGAACCAGGGATTTCATATGCCTTTGATTCATATTTTAATGTTTTAAACTTTAAAATATTATAATTGTTTATATACACTCAAGTGCATATCGTGCTAAATTTTAATATATTAGGACAACTGATTTGTACTGCTAGGTTATCTCAAGAGAGTTATACTGAGTGAAGGCTGAGCATGGCGGCTCACACCTGTAATCCCAGCACATCGTGAGGCCAAGGCAGGTGGATAACCTCAGGTCAGGAGTACAGGACGAGCCTGACCAACATGGCATAACAATGCCTCTACAGAAAGTACAAAAATTAGCCAGGCATGGTGGCGCACACTTGTAATCCCAGCTACTAGAGAGGCTGAGGTGGGAGAATCACTTGAATCTGGGAGGTGGAGATTGCAGTGAGCTGAGATTGCACTACTGCGCACCAGACTGGGTGACAGAGCAAGAGTCTGTCTAAAAAAAAAAAAAAAAAAGAGAGTTAAAGGTTATATACTGTATGATTGCATTTATGTAACATTATTGAAATAACAAAACTGCAAAGATGGAGAACAGATTTAGTGTTTGCTAGGAGTTAGGAATGGGAGGTGAGGGGTGGTGCAGTTTAAAGTTGTAGCATGAGGAAGCTGTGTAGGGATGGAACAGTTCTGTATCTCAAGTGTGATTATACAAAGCTGCAAATGTGATAAAATTTCATACAACCAGAAACATACTGCATACAAATCCTAGCATTCTCAAGTCCCATTTTGCATACAAAACTGGTGAAACTTGAATAAACTTGGGATTGTACCAAGGTCAGTTTCCTGATGGTGACAGTGTACTAGAGTCACATAAGTAAGTTACAACATTGGAGGAATTTGGGCCAGCATACTTTGGACCTCCCTGTGTACTTTTTTTTTTTTTTTGGCAAATTCCTGTGGTTTGTAATTATAGTACTTTTAAAATAAAAAGGTGGCCAGGCATGGTGGCTCGCACCTGTAATCCCAGCACTTTGGGAGACTGAGGCAGGTGGATCACCTGAGGTCAGGAGTTCAAGACCAGCCTGGCCAACATGGTGAAACCCCATCTCTACTAAAAATGCAAAAATGGCGTGGTGGGGTGTGCACCTGTAGTCTCAGCCACCTGGGAGGCTGAGGCATGAAAATTGTTTTGAACCTGGGATGCAGAGGTTGCAGTGAGCTGAAATCACGCCACTGCAATCCAGCCTGGGAAACAGAGCAAAACTGTCTCAAAATAAAGTAAAAAGTAAGAAAGCAAATAAAATAAATAAATAAAAAATAAAATATAAGCAATGCATTTAGAATATTTGAGAGAAAATAAGCAAAAGGAAGAAAATGTAAATTGTCTATAATGCTCATACCCAGGACAACAATCCTTGGGATAGAGTTTCTCATTTTATATATAGACTTGAAACATTTTAAATGAAATTTTATTGTTTAGGCTGGGTACAGTGGCTTATGCCTGTAATCCCAGCAGTTTGGGAGGCCAAGCTGGGTGGATCATGAGTTCAAGAGATTTAGACTGTCCTGGCCAACATGGTGAAATCCCTTCTCTATTAAAAATACAAAAAATTATCTGGGCGTGGTAGCACTTACCTGTAGTCCCAGCTACTACTAGGGAGGCTGAGGCAGGAGAATCACTTGAACCCAAGAGACAGAGTTTGCAGTGAGCTGAGATCACACCACTGCACTCCAGCCTGGGTGACAGAGTAAGACTCTCAGGAAAAAAGCCATTTTATTTTTTAATTAATTTTTTTTTTTCCTTTTCCTCCTCAGAAAGAATAAATGTTATTTATTAGTAAGACTGTAGTTTTGATATTTTGAAATTTTAGTGTGGTGCTTGTTTGCTCCTATAACATTATTGCATAAGCACATTCAGCACTATCAGAACTAATTGCATTATGCAATAACGTGACTGCCTTATGCATATATCAGCATTAGTACATATTGTAAAGTTATTTTTTACCAAAAAGTTTACAACTACCAAGTATTCACATTCTTTAACATTATTACATAATTAATTTAGAAATGTTCTACTTTTAAAACTTCTGGACAGATGTAATCCTTGCATAAATATGCTATTTTAAAAACACAGAAAACAATCTTTATCATTTGCAAAACATACTTTATCATCTACTCATCCTTGTGAATCAGGTTTTTCTTGATACCATGCAATCAAAACAAAACAAATTTGACAAGACTGCCTAATCATCCATAATTTAAAGTTTGTGTTCATCAGAAGAATTTTATTGTTCTCATTATACATGTTCTACATTAGAGTTTTTTTTGTTTTGAGTTGGAGTCTCACTCTGTCGCCCAGGCTGGAATGCAATGGTGCAATCTGGGCTCACTACAGTCTCCTCCCAGCTTCAAGTGATTCTCCGGCCTCAGCCTCCTGAGTAGGTGGGACTACAGACATAGGCCACCATGCCCGGCTAATTTGTGTGTGTGTGTGTGTGTGTGTGTGTGTGTATATTTTTAGTAGAGACATGATTTCACCATGTTGTTCAGGCTGGCCTCAAACTCCTGACCTCAAATGATCCACCCGCCTCAGCCTCCCAAAATGCTGTGATTACAGGCATGAGCCACCATACTCAGCCACATTTGAGCTTTAAAATACACTGATAGAATAAAATACTGCTTTAATCTGTTTCTTTTTGTTTGTTTGTTTTGTTTTTTTTTTCTAGTACAAACTTAGGGCTCTTTATTCAGGCAGTAAAGTAAGGAACAGCAAAGTGGGAGGGCTACACCATCACCATGGCAACAGAAAGCCTCAGAAACATAAAGTCCCTCGACTTCTGTCAGGTAGACTCTTTCTAGCTTAGGAGAAACACATTTTTAACTGGCTGAGAACAAGGCCATGCAGCCTGGCCACACTGTGGAAGGATGGCTGGGTGCGCGGCCTCTGGCCAGTCCTGGAAGTGCTTGGTGAGGGCCTCCAGCATCTCCTGCTTCTTCAGCCCACTCTTCAGCCCATATGCCCGGCAAGCCTCTTTCAGCATGGGCACAGTGAACTTGCCCAGTGTGCCCTTGCTGATGTGGGTCTTCAGCTCTTCTTCTGAATACTCCCCCTTGGGCCTTTTGCTTCCGGAACCGTCATTATCGTGTTTTCTCTTGGTAACTTTCCCTTCAGGGTTGTAATCTGGTGGGTAAACCAGCTCCTTAAATTCATCCACCAGGGAACCCAGTCTTTTATTCATTGCTTCAACCTTGGGCAATGTCAGGTCCACTGCTTGTTCAGGCTCCATCAAATCCAAGGCCAAGGCCTCCAGGTTCCTGAAGTGCCGCTGCAGCACCGGGTTCTCAAAGCTGTCACTTCTGTATGTGAAGCGGAGCTTCTCAACAATAGCCTTCATCTTGTCCACCTGCTCTGGAGTTGCCATGATTTTTTCAGTAAAGGGCATCTTCCTTTTATCATCAGCAAATGACAAAAAGACCAGCTGAAAGCCTGGAGAAGTGACCTGAATTTTCTGGTCATCCAACTCCTCATCCTGTGGCACCAAAGCCACAAAATAAGGGGGGATGTTCTTCCAGGGTGTGTATCTGCACAATGCTGCGACCTCCTTCTCCAGACACTTGATGAGCAGAGCACTGAACCCGGTTGAGCTCCCAATCACCAGAGACTCCTCTGGGTACACGAACAGGGAGGGTCTCAGGTAATGGTGCTTCTTCAGCATTACCAAGGGCTTGAAGCCCATGAGCATCAAACCTGCATCATCAAATCGTTTTAGTTCTTCTGTTTCCTCTTTCTCCAGTATAATCTGACGATTCCCATAGATCTGCGACCTCTTGGTATCGCTAGGCAGAAGCAAACCGCCTGTACTTGTATTAAATGTCCGGGTCTTGGTTTTCACTGGTTCATTTGTTTCCTGATAGAGCTTTATTGGAGGAGGCTTGAGAGCCTTCTGGACCAGATTATAAATGCCAACAGAGATCAGTATATCTTTGTTGAGCTTCAGCTTTAACCTGCTAAGTGCTCACTTCCTGGTATCCTTGGCACGAACCTTCTGCAACAGGTCTTCTAGCTTGCTGGATTCCTCAAAGTGAACCCTGAGGTCCTCATCCTCTGCTATGCTGATAATATCTCTGTAGAACAAGGATATGTCAAAGCCCCCAGGTTTCTTCAGGTGCATCAAGTCAACGAAGATGCCTGTATCTCGGAGAACACCGGCTTTGGTCCTGGCCCGGCTGGCTTTGACACTGTCATTGCCATGGGGGTTGTCTTCATTGGTGAAAAGCATGATCCTCTTATGACTCATCTTGAACTGGACATCACTAAAGAGGTTGGCAGAGACCCACAGCACTTCACTGAGTGAGTAGTCAGATCCATGGCCCATCAGCTCTTGGAAACGTTTCTGTCCCTGCTGCCCCTTAAACTGGTCAAGCTCTAGAATTTGTTTTGCACCTGCATTATCCAACTCCTGTAAGACATAAATATTTTTAAAATTCACTGAATTTTTGTCTTTCTCGGTACCATAGAACACCACTGCCAAGAGATCTCGATCACTGCTTATGATCTTACTGATGTACACACTTTGGGTACACTGGATGCTCATGTCAAAAGGAGTCAACTCATCTTCACTTTGAGATTAAAACATAGCCCTGGAGGCATCAACCAAAAAAATCAAACTATCTCTTCCTGAATATTTGTAGTCTCCACTTGCTTTAAGGTTCTTCTCTTCTTGTCCTTCTGCTTCTTCATTGTCCTCGGTTTTGTAATAGGACTCCCACCCTGACATGTTGGTTACTGCTTACTTTGGCCCAGGGAAGCGAGCAACTTGGACAGAAACTAATCTGTTTCATATGTTATAGATTCACATAAAATTCATTTAGAAAAATTTCTTATACTAAAATATTTAAAGATATTGGATTATTTAAGTTTTATTTTGTAGTTAGCATCTCTAGGGGAATTTCAGGGACACTGTTGCTGTCTTGTGATTATTGATCCTTTTAAAAATCATTGTTTGAGAAGTAAAGTAGTAGAAAATCTATGACAAAATAGAGAATTAAAATAGACAGTATACTCAACTCCACTGTGTTTAAAGAGTTTGATTAATTTCTGTACATTGTGCTGGTGATTAAGATCTGGGACTCTAGAGTCAACTTGAGTTGAAGTCTTGGCTCCATCACTGATCTCTTGTCTCCGTTTCTTCCTCCATAAAATCAGGGCAATAATAGTGTTAACTCATAGGATTATTGTGACTATGAAGTGCATTAGTACATGTAAACAGTCCTGGTCCTTGTCATAAAGGTACTCATAAAACATACTATTATTTTAAAACATGACTGAGATCTTACTGTATGTTTAATATGTCTTTTCCTCACTTAACCTATTGCGGCAGGGCATGGTGGCCATAATCCCAGCTCTTTGGGTGGCTGAAGTAGGTGAATCATCTGATGTCAGGAGTTTGAGACCACCTTGGCCAACATAGTGAAACCCCATCTCTACTAAAAATATAAAAATTAATTCCAGCTCCTTGGGAGACTGAGGCAGGAGAATTGCTTGAACCAGGGAGACAAAGGTTGCAGTGAGCCAAGATTGTGCCATTGTACTCCAGCATGGGTGACAGAGTGAGACTCTGTCTCAAAAAATAAAAATAAAAAACAAAAACATATCACAACTATTTTCCCATGTTGTTAAAAATTCTACCAGTAATGTAAGGGAATATTGGGTGCCCTGTACCCTTGCCAATATTGGGCATTCTCACTTTTTATATATTTGCCAATATGATATATGAAAACTGTCATGTCATTGTTTTGATTTGCATTTTCCCTGAGCATCAGCAAGGTTTTAATGGTTTTCACATTTAATAAAAGTATTTTTTAATTTGTAATCACCTTGTTTGATAAGGAGGTTTTCATGTTTTTACTAACTATGTTTCTTCTCCTGCCTAGATAAATCTTAGAATTTTTTTCACATTGATTTAGACAGATGCTAGTACAGAGGTCTTTTTAAGTCTATGAAAATTTTAATGATTTTTCTTGGTAATTTTTGTCTGTAGATTCAAGTTTAAAGGGCATTTCCCATTCTGATACCATGTAAATATATGTAATTTGTTAGTTTTAAAAAACATGACTTCTTTAATCCCCTAGATTGTAGTTTACTAGATGTCACATTAGTCTTTTGGATATTGCCTGTTCATACCTTTGCCCATTTTTCCCCCTTCTGGGTTGTTTATCCTTTCTTCTTATTGCTTTATAGGAATTCTTTAGATATCACAATCATGAATCTTTTGTTATATGTGTTACACGTATTTTCTCCTCATTTGTTACTTGTCTTTTAATTTTGTTTATGGTGTCTTTATATAGAAGTTTTAACTTATGTGGTCAGATCTTTCACTTAAAAAAATTCTTAAATATTCAACTTGAAAATCTTTCACTTCTTTATAGCTTTTGGGTTGTAGTTTTTTTCCTCTCGTTCAGCAAAATACCATCCCAAGATTATCTTTAAAAAATTTTCATATATTTTATGTGAGATTTTTTTTTTTCACCCTGAGCTCATTTAGTTTGAAATGGAGTTTCCTTTTGTGTCTAGTGTGAGGGTAGGAATCTAACTTTTTCCCAGGTAGATAGGCTTTTGTGTCTCTCAGTTCACTGACTTGTTCGTATTTCAGATGCCACAGGTTTTCCTGCATACATATGGCCTCTTTCTGGAGTCTCAGTTCTGTTCCAGTGACAAGTCTGTCTCTGTTTATTCCATTACCATCCCTCTCCTGTGGCTTTTTATAGAAGTTTGATATCTGATAGGGCAGATATGCTCATTTTCAATTTTTTCTTAGCTATTCTCATGAATTTACTGTTTCCAGTGAATTTTAGAATTATTTTGATGAGTTTTAAGACAAATCTCATTGAGATTACGATTAGAATTGTGCTAAATTTTTAGATGAATATGGGAAGGAGTCAGTTCTCACTAACAGGTCTTTCCATCAAGGAGCATACTGTATCTGTTTATTCTGGAGCTGCCTCTCTGATAACGGTTTTAACCTAGATGCTCATTGTACCATTGTTTTGTTCTAAACATGTGCATTACAAAGATAATATTAGAGTAAATGAGTTGAGGGAAAAGCCTCATCTCAACTCTCCCTGTTTTCATTTCTCTTTTCACCTTTAATTTTGGGTCTGAAGAGACTTTATCATGATACGTGGCATATGTATACTCAGGCTCTTGTACCAATTGGCAGTATAGTATCTCTTTTTCTTATTGTCATTAATGTAATGATTAAGGACTAATCAAGTTGGTAACTGTATTTAACTCTTACGTTAGATATGAAGGATGTTTCCAGTTTCTGAGAGTACACATTAAGATAGTGTTTTTACTCTTGTTTTATTTGAAAAATGTTTCAGGAGGGGTTGTTTTAGTTTTTGTTTTTTTAAAAAAAACTTTTTGAGGTAATATGTAATTATTGTGAAAATTTCATACAGTATTGCAGCTTAAAAAGAAGAAAGTGCCTTTTGAGAAGGTGAGAGTTTTGTTCTCCAAATTTCATCAGTCACTGAAGTGCCTCCTTGTTACTTTTGCCATATATTTGTATCATCAGTACTGTTAATTTGTAACAGTTTTCTTAAAATTTATTAAAGAAATCCAAAAATCCTTAGTGATAAGAGCTGTGAACTCATACATTGATGTATATTAGATAAATACATAATGTTGATTTATGTACATTGCTGTATATTAAGAAATATGTAACATTGATGCATATTAAACAATTTATTCAAAAGTATGTATACTTTATGACACACTGGCACAGTGAGTGGAAGTATAGGTTCTGAAATCAAGGTTTCATGGTTTTAAATTCTGATTCTGCTATGTCTTCCGTCAGCGATACTAGCTAATAAACTTAAGCCTCTGCTTCCATTTTATTTGTTAAAAGATGTTAGTATTCCACCTGCCTTGTAAAGTTATTATAAAATTAAACAGCAGGTGTACAGTCAGTCAGCACAGCCCTAGTACATAGGTGTTCCACAAATACTAGCTATCATTCAATAGAATAATTTGTAAATACTTTGTGTCTCCTTCAAAGCTAGTTCTCACACAAGCATCTCACTTTTAAAGTGTTTACATAGTATTCATTGTAAGAATGTACTGTCATTTATGAAACTTAGCATTTGGTCATAAATTTTTGTCATTCTTTCAAAAAAAGCAACAAATAACAGGATTGGTTTCTAATATGTATCACCAGATTTCTCTTCCACAGGACCATATTAATTTGCTGTTCAGTCACTTTAGACTGTGATTTAAATATTTGGTGGGGGGGCAATAGTAGGTTTAAAAAAACTGGTTTTTGTTTTAGTTAACATTATTAATCACCAGCCATTAAGGAACACATTAATTAATATTTATTCTTGTTGAATCTGTGCAATTTTCTGAGGTAGGTAAACCTGCCTCTGTGTGTGTTGTGTGTGTGTGTGTGTGTGTGTGTGTGTGTGTGATGCAGTTTATGTGTGTGGTGCTAGACATTAAGAAATTATGGTAATTTCATATTATTCTGGTCAGGGATCCCTGGAATATCAGAGTTGGCTCCAGTCTATAGCTACTGTTTTCAAGTCTATAGGGTCTCTGGGAGAAAGATTTGTATTAAATATTTGCAATGACAAATGGAAAACAAAAGGACTGTGCACTTTATTCTCAACTAGGACTTGGGCAGCAAACTCCTGGGTAGAAGACTGGAATAAGCCCAGCTGGTTCATGTGGAAATGATGGTTTTTTTGGAATCTAGTTACTAAGCTTAAATTGTTTCAAACTAAAGCAGGCCATGAGATGAACCCTTTTCACCTCCCCAGTTCTCAGACACATGGAGAGCTTCCCCCCGTTTTACTCCTTTCTGTATATGACCCAGGTCATGTAACCAGAGCAAGCCCATTTGCCCTGGCTGACTGCTGATCTGGCCTTGGACACCTGCCCTGGCCTCTTCTGCCAAAGCAGTAGGTTTGGCCCTGGCTGTCCCTGACAGTTGCGGGTACGGGGGGAGTGACCTTCTCAGCAACTTCAGTCACATGGAAAGAGGAGAAAAGTGAGCTCGTATCTGTGTGCTGATGTTTTAACAGTAATGCTGCCTAGTGACACACAGACCTAGTCAGTGTTCTCACAAGAAGAGGTCAGACTTTATTTCTCACCTCAAAAAACAACGCATAAAAACTTGCAGCCATTCTCAGAAGCATTGGTTTTCTGTTGGGTTGTTGGTTGTGTTAAGTCAGCCAGAAAGAGGTAGAATAAAAACTGACTTGCTGAGAATTACACATAATCCATGTCACCCCCCAGCTAGGCATCAGCCTGCCGAGAGTGCCACCTTACTCTTTCCTCTTGCTTAATGGTTCATGACATGTTCTTCATTTTCCTCCTACCACTTTCAATTTGTTTTTTGTGAGTTTTTTATGGCTTATTCTCCTGTATTTGGCCATTAAATGTTGATGTTCCACCAATCAACCCTAGGCCCTTCTGTCGTTCTTCTTTCCCTAAGCAGTAACAGCCATGTCCATGGCCTTACTCATGGGCGAATCCAACATTTTCATCTCGACCCCAACCTCTGCTGTTGAGAACTCCATCTGCTAATACCTAATTGCCTAGCGGACATCTCTAGATAGATGTCTCAAAAGTATTCTAAATTCATCATGTACAAGATTTATTTCATATTTTTCCTCTGAAAATGCTGTTTGCTATTTTAACGAAAGCCATCACTGGCTTGGCACGGTGGCTCATGCCTGTAATCCCAGCACTTTGGGAGGCCAACACGGTTGGATTGCCTGAGGTCAGGAGTTTGAGACTAGCCTGGCCAACATGGGGAAACTGTCTCTACTGAAAAAAAAAAAAAAAAAAAAGCCCAAAATATTATCTGGGTGTGGTAGTAGGTGCCTATAATCCCAGCTACTTGGGAGATTGAGGCAGGAAAATCACTTGAATCCAGTAGGCACAGGTTGCAGTGAGCAGAGATTGTGCCATTGCACTTTAGCCTGGGTGACATAGCAAGACTCCATATCCAAACAAAAGGAAAAGAAAAGAAAGGCATCACCACCCAAGCAATTGTGCAAGTCAGAAACCTGAGACTTGTCCATGAATCTTTCTCTCTCCTCCCATCCACCACCAAATTCAGTCAATCACCAGGTCCCACTGATTGTTTTTAACCTTCTTCTATTGTGAACTATAACATACACACAGGGCTGGGTGCAGTGGCTCATGCCTGTGATCCCAGCATTTCGGGAGGCCAAGGTAGGCGGATTACATGGTCAGGAATTCAAGACCAGCCTGACCAATATGGTGAAACCCGATATCTACTAAAAATACAAAAATTAGCCGGGCAAGGTGGTGTACACCTGTAATCCCAACTACTCGGGAGGCTGAGGCAGGAGAATCACTGGAATCCAGGAGGCAGAGGTTGCAG